GCCCAGGATCGCCCACCGCGACGCCAGCTCCGCCCTCCCAAAGGCCAATATTTTTAAATTGCTTATCCTATCTCCTTTCAGGCTAAGTCAAGTTTTCATCTGGCTTTGTTTATAGATTGTACAGAGCCATGGTTCCTTAACAAGACATAGTAACTTGATTTAAACAGAACACTAAGAATGGTTTATAAAGCGTAATGGTTAGAAGCTCATCCGTCACACTAAGCAAAAATCAAATGATTGTTTAGTATGATGGGTAAACTCATGAAACTTTATTTTATTGATAAAGAAATTTCCATCCCATCTTCCACATGATTATACAGTCAGGGCAATGTTCAGAAGCTGCATGCAGGAGTCTCATTTTATGCTGGCTTGCCTTTTTCAATATGTGAAAATATAAAGTTTTGTATATGAAGTAAGATCCAAACTTTGGCAAAGATAATTTCTGATTTGGTATTCTGAAAATGGGTTCCATGAATTGGGAATATGGGTGATTAAAAAGAATTACTTCAATTTTAGAAACTTTATAAGTGACAGGCGAACTGTGAGAGTTGATGATTATTTTCAATGTGTAATATACTTGCTGCATAAAATATACAGCAACCTGATTGCATGATTTTGGAGATGTAGATAGAGCCTTATAAATACTTGTTTATGCTGCAGGGCATATTATGGCAACATTAACTTTTTTGGAGGGTCTTCTTCAACCTCTGTAAAATCTTCTGCAAAATTGAAACAAATGGAGGAAGAAAATGAGGATGCCATGTTTGTATTCCTTTCGGATGTTTGGTTGGACCAAGCAGAAGTTTTAGAAAAACTCCGCATTATGTTTTCAGGTAAACCTGTTGATTCACACGTGTGCTGGATTTCTGCAAGGAAAGGCCGAAGTATTCTGAGCAGTTCAGTTTATGGAAATGAAGCAATTTAAGAAAAGATATTACTCAAATTTATAGTGTAGAACTTTAATCTTTCAATTACATCTGTTAGTAGAATCAGGCAAGGATTCTTATCTTGCATAGCAGATCATCACATAATGCATTTACAGAACTTGCCTCAGGATATGGCTGGCATGCCATACATTTTGACTGTATCTGATAATTACCTCAGAACATTTAATTACTGCCCGTTTTCTTATTTTTTCAACCCTGTGCTACAACTCTGAAGCCATGGAAAATGCTTTACTCCTGTCTCTAGTTACAGGTTTGGAGGTAGGTGAGGATGGCTACCTTTTGACCTTTGAGGTGTTCCAAGGAAGAAGACCTTTCTTCCATAATTGGGCAGCACTTATGAATGCACACAAATTATGGATTTACCTTCAGCGCCACAATTAAAAGAATGAATGCTTATGGATTATGGTTCATTTTCCATACTGTGTACTGAGAGCCATTTTAGATAGTTCCCCAAAAAATTAGTTCACAAAGGAAGGGGCCATATTGCTACAGTGGGGCAAAAAAGTATTTAGTCAGCCACCAATTGTGCATGTTTTCCCACTTAAAAAGATGAGAGAGGCCTGTAAT